AAACCATTTCTGTAATTTTAAATGTTTAAGAGTAATTCACAAAAGAGATTACCTATGGATAACTAAAATTTAACTCAAATAAGTTAATTGCAACATCTTCAGAACCTCTCAAAGTTAAGTGTGCATCCTCAAGGATAATACTTTGCCATTTCCACTTGCCACTAAGAGGTTTGCATATTTTCATCATTCATGACACTTAAGTATCATTTCTAGCTCCAAAATTGTTATGCACTGAAATATACTTTTAGTTTTAAAAGATCAATTACTTCAAGAGCTCTTGATAATTCACAATCATTAGAACTTATAGAAGACATGCAGGTAATTCTAACTGTGTCAGATATAATTTTTAAATTGCAGATTTCAACTACAAATCAATTTTAAATATTTTTTCTATCTCTTTATTTGGAGCATTTGTTTCAACATAGTTTAAGCTCTTTTTCTTTTTTTATTATTCCTAACTATCTAAAGGTAACTCATCCCAGAACTCAGAATCATATAGCTTGTAACTACATACTTCTCCGGACTACAACTAAATTCAAAAACAAATACAACCACTATATTACTGATACAGTGTTGACACCTAAATCAGTACAGTGATAGTAAGACACACTGGAGTTGCTGGTAAAATTCTCCAACCATATTGTATGCTCCTTGAAGCAGAATACGGTCTATTTTAAAATCTTACCCACCACTACAGCTACAAAACAGGCACTCAAAAATATGTTAAACTGATAAATGGGTGGATATATTTAAAGTTATTAATAAAGCATCAATAATATTGTTTTACTTGTCTGATTCCAAATATCCTGAGAGTAGTTACCAAAGTGGTTTTGCTGTTATCTTGTAAAATAATGTTCAATACTTAAAAGTTAATTAGAAGAGCTGAAAAAATGACTAGAAAATTCTTTGGAACTCTCTAGTCTCATAAAAAAGCAGACTTGTAAGGAAATTAGAACTGAGTCCAATTTCATTCCTGATGAATTAGTCCATCCCCTGTTTAAATACTTCCAGAAACAGGATGTCCACTAGAGCACCAGCATACAGTTCTAGGAAATCCATTCCACTGTGGGATACTCTGTGTTACAAAGGTCTTCCTCACAGGGGTGCCTGTGTGCCTCAGTCAGCTGAGCGGCTGCCTTCGGCTGGGGTCATGAATCCAAAGTCCCAGGATCGAGCCTCAGGATGGGCTCCCTGCTCAGCAGGGAGTCTGCTTCTCCCTCTCCCTCTGCCCCTCCCCCTGCTTGTGCTCTGTCTCTGTCTCTCTCTCAAATAAATAAATAAAATCTTAAAAAAAAAAAAAAAAGTCTTCCTCACAGTGGCTTAAACAATGTCTCTTTGTCTCTCCCTCTGAGCCAAATTTTTTGCTTCTTCCTTTTTTGTTTCAGTATCAAGTAAGTATACTCCCGTTTCTAAATGAAAATACTTTTAAGAGTTTGAAGGTATTTATTATGACTAGTCAGGGTCTTTGCAATTTCTAGATTCAACATTCTTTATTCATATGGCACAGCTTCTATCCCTTTCTTGAAGATGGTAGCCCTCCTAAAATACATAGTGGGCATTTTGATGGTCTCAGATGGAGAGCTGAAAAGTAACACTCCAGATCTCCTCCCACCAGAGCAAAATACAATAGTATTTGATTGAATCACATGAAATTGCCAACACTCAACCATTTTTGACCTACAAAAATGACAATTTCATGTAGTTCAACATAATAGCATTATCTTCTTTGATGTAAGCACTGCACATCCATCAATGCGTCCTCAGATTGCATTAGCTTTTTAGCAGCTGTATAACACCACTGCTTCATATTAGGTTTGAGGCCAAGTAAATCCTGTAGGTCACTTCCCCATCAACTGCTGGGCTTATGCAATGAATTTTACAGAATTTTATAATGCAGGAATTTACTTACCTGCCACTTACCAGTTTTGTTATCCTTATAAAAGCTTTTTGATCTCTTAGGGTCCCAATGTATCCTGAATCATATAATATTTCCTATGTGCCAGACACACTTATCAGTGGTTCACATTTGATCTTCACAACCACTGTATGAGCTAGAATCATTAGCATTTCCCACATCACAGATGAGGAAACAGACACTGAGAGGTCAAGTGCACACCCTTAACCACTACATCACCTGACTCTCAAAATAAGGAAACTGTCTTTCTCAAATGGTTTTGTGGCGATTTAATAGTATATATAATGTGTTTAATTTTTTCACACCTTTCCTTTATCCAGCAAGTTCAATTAGTCGCTAAATACAATGGATTTTAGCTCCTGAATGCTTATCTCTTGCATCTGGTGTTTCCTTTCTATTCTTCCAGACTATTCTCCAGTTCCTAACACTTTTAATTCTTCTGAAATGCTGTCTATCAAAATTGCCTCTTAACTGGTTTCTCTTCATCTTCACCCACCTGCTTCGATCCACACTATATAACTCTGGGTCCTATTTCTCATCACTTTCTCAACTTCTACTTTGTTTTTATATCCCCTTTGAGTATTACTTCCTCTTACTAACTCTTTTTACTCCTTCAAGGAGAAAAAAAATAAACAAGCAGAATATTGTTTTCTGTCTATGCTATTTTCCCTGAAAAGTAGGCCTCCTTTCCTCTCATTCAGAGACAAGCTTAAATAAGAATAAAGCCCTAAATAAAATCTTTAAAAAAAAAAAAAAAAAGGGTGCCTGGGTGGCTCAGTCGTTAAGCATCTGCCTTCAGCTCGGGTCATGATCCCAGGGTCCTGGGATCGAGCCCCGCATCGGGCTCCCTGCTCGGTGGGAAGCCTGCTTCTCCCTCTCCCACTCCCTCTGCTTATGTTCCCTCTCTTGCTGTGTCTCTGTCAAATAAATAAAATCTTAAAAAAAAAAAAAAGAATAAAGCCCAAAAATCAGTTTATAGAATTTCCTTCCATTAACAAAACCAGATGTGAATGTTGGGATCAGGTCAGGATTCTGCAAAGCAAGGTGGTCTAACAGCAGAGGCTCTGGAGCCAGATGGCCAGGGCTTGAATCCCCACTCTGTTATTTATAACTGGGTAACGTTTGTCCTGTCACCTGAGCTTTCCGTGCTTTAGTTTCCTCATGTGTAAAGTAAGGATTATAATAGCATCACTTCTTAAGGTTATTGTGCAAACAATAAATTGGCCAATATATCTGAAGGGCTGAGAACGGTAGCGAGTATAAAAGATCTTGCATAGGCAATAGGAAAGCCTCATCACTAGGGATCTGCATTGGCCCAGATTCCTGGTCCCGTACCTTATGAATATTTATCTCAGTTCCTTTATTGGTCCCTCAAGTAATGTTATTTTCTTTTTTTTTTTTAAGATTTTATTTATTTATTTGAGAGATAGAGAATGAGAAAGAACACATGAGAGGGGATAGGGTCAGAGGGCAAAGCAGACTCCCCGCCGAGCAGGGAGCCCGATGCGGGACTCGATCCCGGGACTCTGGGATCATGACTTGAGCCAAAGGCAGTCACTTAACCAACTGAGCCACCCAGGCGCCCAAGTAATGTTATTTTCTGAACACTCCTGGCAAGTGCTCATCCCCAGCTAGCTTGACTCTTATGGTCACTCAGCAGTTCCCCTGGATTGCCCCAGGCCTTTGAGAAAGGGAACTCTAGAGCAAATGACAAGAAACAGCCTATCTTTTTGGAAAATAATCAAAGGAATAATTAGAGGAACAAGAAAGAGGAGCATGGACTCAGGAGAATGTTCTAACATACAAGACAAAAGATAACATAGGTCTGGATGAAGGAGGTGACTCATTTGAGTTTTTTGTTTTTTGGTTTTTTTTTTTAACAAAAGAGAATTCACACCACTGGATAACTGATAAATAAAGAAGGTGTGGGAAGGAAAGTCAAGATGGCTGCAAAACTCACAGTCTGGTATTTTGGCTGGTGATGTTATCAGCTATATGTGGAGCAAAGACGCAGCAGTGATAGGGTAGAGCTGATGAAATTACCATCAGGTATGTAGAGTTTGAAATAAAGCTCAAATAACCACATGGAAATGTCTAGGAGCAGTTAAATATGAAAACCTGGTGCTCAGCATCCCGCTGACCCACTGTCAGTAGGAACAACTTCTGAATTGGCTTATTCTGCCAGTTTTGAGATTAAATTACAGTGACCTTATCTTCTCACAGTTGAGACACACTGGTAAAATGGCTGGCTGCAAAGCAATCTATGGCAACAAATAGCGCAAAGCTCACTAGGGAAATCTCACCAGAAACTGTAACCTCATTAAGACAATGCACTAACCTGCTAGGATAACCAGCAACTACAAGCAGATAGAAATGTCTTTTATTTTAAATAAAATAAAATATGATCCCCTCCAGTGATCATCCTTCCATTTGAACGTGGAGATACTCTAGAATACAAATTAACTGAAACAATAATTCTGTCTCCTTGCTTTTATTTCATTAAACAAAGTACGTTTGTGTTGTGATGAGCACTGGGTGTTACATGCAACTAATGAATCGTTGAACACTACATCAAAAACTAATGATGTACTATACGCTGGCTAACTGAACACAACAATTAATAAATAAATAAGTAACAAAGTATGCTTGCATTAGGAAACTGAGTTTCTACTTTATTTTCAAATAACAAGTTACTAACTGGCAAAGTGCAGGTGATAGTTGATATCAAACACCACACTTAAAACCCTTTAAAGCAATATTTTATGACCATCAGCAGCTGACCTCTAAAAGTGAGACTACGTCTAGCCTTCAATTATGCAAGGATTGCAACACATTAAATTTACTTTACACTGAGGGAAATACAAGTTTCAAGGCTAGAATATTCTACAGGAAGGTCATAAATCAGACAAACATTGAGGATTAATAAAAACAAACACAAAGATTACTCTCATAAATTAAAAAAATGCAACCTTTGGGTTGAAGAAAACTTAAAATAGCTAAAATCAGGGAAGTATCATCTTGACCAAATTGTAACTTAGACCATATTTTTCAGCGCAATGATATTTTAAAAACTGTTAATGCTTACCTCTCTCCATTCTTTATTTCCAACTCCTTGCACATATAAGACACAAACTGTAAGAGAAGAAAAAATAAATATATAAATGTGTTTTATAAATATATGAATGTATATAAATTATTCCTGGCCTTACTCTTGTAAGAAAATTGCTAGTAAAACATCAAATGACTAAAAACTTTTGCAAAGAAACAAAAAGCTGTATCAGATCTTTAGAACCTAACATGCATAGACCGAGGCACAAAAACACAAAATAATTATTTGCTAATGTCTTCATCTACATTATACTACAGATACACATAAGTTTTTAAACTATAGTTTAACAGTTTGAAATATTTCAGTATGTTACTAGACATTAGTCAAGCTCTTCCTAAGATACCCATAATGCTCAACCATCACAGGAAGGACAATCTGGAGCATATCATCCTCTACATTTAATATTTGCAACTCCCACCCTCAATATCTATAAACAGGTAAGAAATCTTGTCAACCACAGAAGGAAGTCACAAAAAGAGAAATGAAGTGTTTGGGGTAAAGATTAAGGGATAAAAAAAAAGTCCCACTCATTTGTCAAGTGAGCCCCAGAAATTTTTTTTTTTAAAGATTTTATTTATTTATTTGAGAGAGAGAGAATGAGAGAGAGAGAGCACGAGATGGGGGAGGGTCAGAGGGAGAAGCAGACTCCCTGCTGAGCAGGGAGCCCGATGCGGGACTCGATCCAGGGACTCCAGGATCATGACCTGAGCCGAAGGCAGTTGCTTAACCAACTGAGCCACCCAGGCGCCCAGCCCCAGAAATTTTTAATACCCACAAACTGTAATGCCTTTTCCCCAATGACTACTTCAAAAATTCTAACATCTCACAAAACCTCCCCCGCTGTAGTTAACCCATATTTGCCCATATATTTGTAGAGATGGAGAGTTGCAGGATATAAATTTCTAACTATTGCAAGAATGGAAACGCTTGTTGATGTATACATTAATGTTGCTGTTTTCTAATTTAAACTTTCTCATTTTACAAGTTATCTCCAATTTTTTAATATACATAATTAGGAATCAAAAAATTGTGTTCATCCAAAACGATTTTATATATTTCTCTTGGTTAAGCATGCCTTTACATGCTCTTTTTATTTACAAAAAAAGAAGGAAAAGTATTACTCTGGGACTAAATCACTTAAAATTATGGTCCATTATGGTCACCTTTCAAATATAATTTCTATCATATGCCATACCATGAGGTTTTGGGTTTTTGTTTTTTTTTTTAAGATTTTATTTATTTATTTGACAGAGAGAGAGAGTGAGCACAAGCAGGGGGAGGGGCAAGCAGAGGGAGAGGGAGAAGTGGGCTCCCTGCTGAACAGGGAGCCCAATGTGGGGCTGGATCTCAGGACCCTGGGATCACGACCTGAGTGGACCAACCAACTGAGCCACCCAGGCGCCCCTGGTTTTAATTTCAAAGTGAACTATCTTACATTTGCATTTTCATCTTATTCTCAAAGTGCTAAGCAACTCCCTCTCTTTAGCCAGACTACTGCCCAGGTAGATGAGAATGCAGGGCTTGACACCATCCCCCGTCTTGCTTTCTGTGCTTTAAAACAAATATTTAAACAAGAACTGTAAGTTTCATACAATTTTTGCAAAGTCAGGTTAGAAAAATAAGTAGACTGTTTCAAAAAACAAGTAATAGATACTTACTTGGATCAGATTTAGAGAATGTATCTCTGTCAAGAAGATTTCTGTTGAATAAAAGAAAATGTTAGATGAATACACGGCCAAAATATTTATATGAATACATAAATGTATATAAATATATAAACTGTTTATATATTATATGTAATATATGTGTACAGCACATATTATATCTGTGATATATCTGCATTATGTATTATATATGTATATTATATATATATATATATGACTAAATAAAAATTTGCTAAATATGTGCCTGTACTTATTCAAAGTAAACGTCACTTAAGTTCAGGAAGCCGGGGTAAGGGAGGCCTATTTGCTCAGCCTGGTACTGTAGCTGGTCCACGACAAGACTTTCCACATTCTAAGATTAAATTTTGAGAGATTTAAGTGTTTCAAGTTTCCTTTTATCCCTTCATTAATCAGTATACAGATGGTCAGAAATCTTTCCTGAATTGAATTATTAGTTATTACTGATACAAAATTGTTTGGGATTCAGAGCACATGATCACATTAGTCCACACAGTTAGAAGGCAACAGTGAAGCGCCATCTATTGACATTTCTGTGACATCAATTCGGAGGAGTTTTATATTGCTACTCTGGTTTGGGAATTTACATTGTATTGATATTTACTGAAGATTTTTTCAGCGGAAAAAAAAATGTAAAAGGTGGACAAGGCCATTATTAGCATCTATTTCTTCTGACTTACAGATATTTCCATATCTAAACCAGAATAAAAGTGGACAATCAGAAACTGTGGAAGTCTGGATTCCTCTAGTATTGGGCTATCCCATTTACCTTCAATGGTAGTAATGCAGTCCTATACTTTATGCTCATAACAATAACCCTGAGTAATGAAAAAAAATTAATTCAGTGTGCCCTGATTAATAAGACAATTGGAAAAATTTCCATCTAAAACGGATTATTTTCCTAAAAATGATAATTTGAAGCTATACCCTTGTATGAAAAAATCTGGCTACCTAGAATGATGACTTGAATGTTCCAAAAGTTAAATTTGTCCTTCTTATTCATCCTTTCTTAATTGGTAATAACTTGTAAGAACAAATTACATTTTTATGCTTAATACTTATACTAAAAATCTCATGTTTAAACTCTCTTATTCCTCCACCCAAGACTACTACTCATGTGCATTTATCTGTACTGCCCATGGTATTTGAAAGGCCTTTTTAAAATATCAATGTGATATCCTTTCTTATTTCAGGTTCTCAAAAGTTACTGCTTCTATGGAATGACTGTACAATAAGAAAATAAAAATACAGTCAACAGAACAATGCAGCACAGACCAAAATAAAAGAAAATGACATTATGTCTTGAAATATTCCTAAAAAGAGAAAATATAAGACATATTTATATTTGGAATTAAGTCAGCTTCAAAGACCACTAGCCAGAAATCAAATTAAAATAATCCTTCTGTACCATAAGCAGACATTGTGACTCCAGCAATCGTTAGCAAACAGTAAATTAAAACATTTCCACTTGAAAAATTACTGTGATATATATTTACAAGGGTGGTTCTACACTTAAGTGGAAGTTCTTCAGCCCTTCCCATATCTTCAGCTTTTTGCTCATTAGTGTCCTTAAAAAATGTAATTCAGCTCTTTCTTACAGAATTCGTGATAATCTAGGAGAGATAACAGTGCAAAATATTGCAACATGGTTGGGATTCAAAAACTATGCTATACACATATTTAAAAGAAAATAATGTGATTTCACTGTCTCTTTAAAAAAAAAAAACGAACCCTACAACTTTTAACACCAAATATAAAGTAATGGATTTCTAACAACAATAAAAATAAACATCTTTAACCATATATTCTTTTCTTCTCGCCATTATGAATCATAATATACATGGTAAGATCAAATAAACAAAGAAACAAAAAAATCTTGTATCCTTTATATGGTAAGAAATAAAACTCCATAATCTTTTTATAAATTAGCCCCTGAAATTAGCAATGTAACTTTCCCATTGCTGTTTGACAATAAATTTCATCAATAAAATTCAAACATATACAATGTCAAAAGTTTGGAAAAGGCAAATATTCATAAATAGTATATATACTATAAAAGACCAGTGATTATCAAAATTCATCATAAAGTTTGGGTTGGTGATAGAAATGAAGATTTTTTTTTTAAAGATTTTATTTATTTATTTGACAGAGAAAGACACAGCGAGAGAGAGAACACAAGCAGGGGGAGCGGGAGAGGGAGAAGCAGGCTTCCCGCAGAGCAGGGAGCCCAACACGGGGCTTGATCCCAGGACCCTGGGATCATGACCCAAGCCAAAGGCAGACGCTCAACAACTGAGCCACCCAAGCACCCCTGAAATGAAGATTTTTACCTTTTCAATATCCTATTAGAAATAAATCACGTTCACATTAAGTAAAATAAGATCGGTCTTATTATGAAGGCTGTTTTATAAACAAGAGACTAAGCTGAGGTTCAGAGAGACTGAATAAATGAGTAAGAACACACACAGCCCAGTATCATCCAGTGGAGTCAGCCCTCTGAATCTGACTTCTCTGTTCTTCACAAAATGCCATACTGTCTGGAGAAGTCCAGAAGAAACAACTTATTTACCTATAAGTGTTGGAAATATGGAAGGCCCCCCATTACACCTATTGGTTGAGCCACTAGAGTATCAAATAAAATAAATTCCTGTCCAAAGACCAATATGAAGAGCAATCCTGACTACAGAATGGAGACAAATAGGAGACCAAACATAATTGTATTTATTCATAGAAAAATATCTTTGCTTCCTATATGAGGCACTGTAAAAAATAATAATAATAATACACACCACTCATTAGTTTTTATGTGGGAAAGTTACACTTCCTTCCATAGAGTTGGGAGGACAATCATTTTACGCCTGTAAGTTTATTCTGTGAGCTTGCACTTCAACAGTAGGTTAAAAATCCTGAATGTATCTTTCTATTCTGTAAATCTAGATGTAGCCACAACAAGGAAGAGAGCAAAGTCCTGAAAAGAAATTATGGAAAAATACAGTACACGAGTAAGAAAACTTACATGAAGAAATAAACTAATCAAAATTATAATCTGTGTAGAAACGCTCGGTCACAGGCTGGGTGAGCATGGAGTGCGGCCGGAGACTGGGGAGATGGGAGTGATTGACTGCTTTTCTCTGGGGGCGCACTGAGGAGTGGGGCCCCGAGTTCTCCGCTACTCAGTGCGGAGATTGGGAGGCCGTCATTTTCACTCTCATCCTCCAAAGCTGTACGGAAAGCTTACAGGGAACAAAAGCTCCTGAGAGCAAACCCGAGCAGATTACTTAGCCCGGACCCGGCAAGGGCAGGGCAATTCCGCCTCCAGCAAAGACATTTGGGAACCTCGGCAACAGGCCCCTCCCTGAGAAGATCAGCAAGAAGAGCCCGCCAAGACCAAGTTTACCGATCAATGAGAATGGCAGAACGCCAGAGCTAGGGGAATACTGCACATAGAATCCATGGCTTTTTTTACCATGATTCTTTAGTCTTTCAAAGTTAATTTTTTTTAACTGTTGTTTTTTATTTTTTTTGAATTTTTCTTTTTCCCTTTTTAAACCAACTTCTTATCAATCCCTTTTTTAAAAATCATTTTTATTTTTCATTTTTAGAGTCATATTCTAACCCTTCATAGTAGTTACCCTTATTTTTGGCATATATATATAAGTTGTTCTCTCTTTAAAATTTTGAGATACAGTTTCTTCTAACAGATCAAAATATACCCTAAATCTCTAGTGTATGGTTTTGTTCTACTCTCCTGCCTGATCACATTCTCTCCCTTTTTTTTTTTTTAAACCTCTTCTTTCTTTTTTCAAACAACTTATCAATTCCTTTTATAAAATTTTTTATCATTTTCATCTTTACAGTCATATTCCATCCCTTCATCATTATCAACCCTTATTTTTGTACATATATAAGTTTTTCGTTCTTTAAAATTTTGGAAGGCACTTTCTTCTAACAGACCAAAATACACCCAAAATCTAGTGTGTGGTACTAATCTATGCACCAGCCTGGTCATATTTGATCATATTCCGTTTTTTTTGTTTTGTTCTGTTTTTGTTTGTTTTTATCTTCTTCATTTTCTTTTTTTTTTTTTCTCTCTTTCTTTCCCTTTCTTTTCCCCTGGTTTCAGGTCTTTTCTGATTTATTTAGAATATATTGTCTGGGCACATTGTTACCCTGTTAGCATTTTGTTATCTCATTCATCTATTCTCCTCTGGACAAAATGACAATATGGAAAAAATCACCTCAACAAAAAGAACAAGAGGTAGTACTGACTGCCAGGCACCTACTCAATATGGACATTAGTACGATGTTGGACCTACAATTCAGAATCATGATTTTAAAGATACTAGCTGGGCTTGAAAAAAGCATAGGAGTTATTAGAGAAACCCTTTCTGAAGAAATAAAAGAACTAAAATCTAACCAAGTTGAAATCAAAAAGGCTATTAATGAGGTGCAATCAAAAATGGGGGTGCTAACTGCTAGGATAAATGAGGCAGAAGAGAGAATCAGTGATATAGAAGACCAAATGATGGAAAATAAAGAAGCTGAGAAAAAGAGAGATAAACAACTACTGGATCACGAGGGCAGAATTCAAGAGATAAGTGATACCATAAAACGAAACAACATTAGAATAATTGGGATCCCAGAAGAAGAAGAAAGAGAGAGAGGGGCAGAAGGTATATTGGAGCAAATTATAGCAGAGAACTTCCCTAATTTAGGGAAGGAAACAGGCATCAAAATCCAGGAGGCACAGAGAACCCCTCACAAAATCAATAAAAATAGGTCAACACCCCGACATCTACTAGTAAAACGTATGAGTCTCAGAGACAAAGAGAAAATCCTGAAAGCAGCTTGGGAGAAGAGATCTGTAACCTACAATGGTAGAAACATTAGATTGGCAACAGATTATCCACAGAGACCTGGCAGGCCAGAAAGGACTAGCATGATATATTCAGAGCACTAAATGAGAAAAATATGCAGCCAAGAATACTATATACAATACAATGACAGCTAGGCTGTC